ATAGATAGATAGATAGATAGATAGATAGATAGATAGATAGATAGATAGATAGATAGATAGATAGATAGATATAGAAAGAATAAAAATAGAGAAACATTTCTAAAAATAATAAAACACGAAGGTTTGGCAATCCTGAGAATTTAAAAAACTCAGAATTGCAAAAATATGAAGGAAGATCTATGGGACATCAATCCATATTTCTCATTACACAATGTGGATATTAACTTTTTTTCAACATGAAAGTGTTAACAAGGTTCCTCACTGCTTCTACAAAGATCAGATTTGAATTTCCAAGAGAAATCATGGATATTTATCTTCTGCTTCTAAGTTCAAATACTCAGCTTCCTTTCACTGAATCATTTTGAAGAGCTGCTGAGAGGAAGAGAAGAACAAAATGGCACCATTGGATATGTATTTTCACAAGAGCAAAATTAATAATTTAACACCAATGTTTTGTCTCCACTGGATAAGTGTTGGAGGAGAGATTTCCTCCTGCTCACCTATGGAAATGTCATTCACATTCTACACAGCTTCTTAGAAGATCAGACCTAAGGTTCCAAATTGTATACGGAGATTTACCTTCTGCTTCTCTCTTTAGAAAGTCCACATTTGACTTTCTGAACCAATTTCTAAAGTTGTTCAGAGGAGGAGAAGGTTTTTGCTTGGCATCAGATTCACTTCCTCTCACTGTGCCTCTCGCACAATAATAGACAGCTGTGTCCTCTGGTTTCATATTGTTCATTTGCAGATAGATCTGACTGCGGGAATCATCCCTGGAGATGGTGAAGCGTCCCCTGACTTTGTCTGAGTAGTAAATTGGAGATGAGGCTGTATGTATGAATGCCACCCATTCCAGGCCTTTTCCTGGATACTGTCTCACCCAGCTCATGGCATGGCTGCTGAAGGTGAATCCAGAGGCTTGGCAGGAGAGATGGAGGGATTCTCCAGGTCTTCTCACATCCCCTCCAGACTCCACCAACTGGACTTGAGACTGGACTCCTAAAAACAAAAGTGATTCAATTAAATTTTCTATATATAAACAGTAAAAAAAATATGAAATTAATTCTTTAAAAGGGAAAAATACCTTGAAATAGCACTAACAAGGACACCCAATTCAGCCATGGGATCATTTTGGCTCCCTTTAATGAATGGAAGGAATTGAGAGGAAAGAATTCAGGAAAGTGCACAAACTTTGTGAGGGTGGGTGTAGCCTGAAAGGAGAAAGGATTGCGTGGACGGTTTGCGCCAGTGTTGGGATTGAGCCAGCTCGCACCTATTCGGGAGAACTGGTTCTTAACTTTCTTTCTCTTTCTTTTTTTGCAGATTTTTTAAATTATTTTTTCCCTTCTATAACACCTTACAGTCATTACATCAACAGATGTATGCTGGCCACCCATTCCAGTCCTTTCCCAGGAGCCTGTCTCACCCAACGCATGTAAGAGCTGCTGAAGGTGAATCCAGAGGCTTGGCAGGAGAGACGGAGGGACTCTCCAGGTCTTCTCACATCCCCTCCAGACTCCACCAACTGGACTTGAGACTGGACTCCTAAAAACAAAAGTGATTCAATTAAATATTCTATATATAAACAGTAAAAAAAATGAAATTTATTCTTTAAAGAGGGAAAAATACCTTGAAGTAGCACTAACAAGGAAATCAAAATCAGCCATGGGATCATTTTGGCTCCCTTTAATGAATGGAGGGAATTGAGAGGAAAGAATTCAGGAAAGTGCACAAACTTTGTGTGGGTGGGTGTAGCCTGAAGGGAGAAATCAAGGGGATCCTTTAAAAGGGAAATTTTGCCTTCATTTACATATCGCTTCAGATAAAAGGGCCACTCAGTGGGGGATGGGAGAGGAATAAAACAAGTTTCATTAGATATTCTCTCA